GACCAAAAAACACCCCCAGACGAAACCCGACCAAAAAAACACCCCCAAAACCGACAAGAAACCCCCAGCACGAAAAGACCAAAAACAACCCCCAGCAGACAGACCCAAAAAACCCCCAGGCAGAACAGACCAAAGAAACCACCCGCACGACCAGACCAAAAGAAACACCACCCGCAAAAACCAGACAAAGAACACCCCCAGCACGACCCGACAAAGAAAAAACCAGACAAACCCAACCCAAAGAACACCACAGCAAGAACCAGACAAAGAAAATCCCCCTGAAGGATCCCTTGTGATTGGTACTGCCCATGGGAAAAAGACTGATCCATGTGATTGTTAAAACTGCCATGGGAACAGAACTTATCCCATGGGATGTTGTACTCCCTGGGAGAAAGATGATCCATGTGCTTTTGTAGGCCATTGGAACAGACTGATACCTGTAATGTACTGCCAGGGAACAGAGACTGATACCTGTGGATGCACTGGCATGGGAACAGAATGATCCCAATACTGAACATGTGTGTGCATTTCCTAGCCTTGGCTGGTTTACTCTACTGTTCTCTGAAGAACACTCACCCGTCACATTACCAGGACCTAAAAGAACACTCACCCATGTCAGTACCAGACCTAAAGAACACTCACAATGTCACGTACCAGACCTAAAGAACCTCACCATGTCACGTTACCAGACTTAACAACACTCTCATTCACATTACCAGAAACTAAAGAAATCCTCACCATGTCACGTTACCAGACATTAAAAACACTCACCATGTCAATTAACCAGACCTAAAGGAACAATCACCATGTCACACGTACCAGCCCTAAAGAAACAAAGAACACTCACCATGTCACGTTTATTTAAAAGCCATAAAGAACAACTCCACCCATGTCACGTTACCAGACCTTAAAACACTCACCTGTCACTTACCAGACCCTAAAGAATACTCACCATGTAAGTTTACCAGACCTAAAGAACACTCACCATGTCACATTACCCAGACCTAAAGAACACTCACCCCATGTCACGTTACAGCCCGACTAAAGAACATCACCATGTCACATACCAGACTTAAAAGAAAACTTATAGTCACGTTACCAGACCTAAAGACACTCACCATGTCACTTACCAGACCTTAAAAGAACACTCACCCTTGTCACGTTACAGCCTAAAGAACACTCAACATGTCACAATTACCAGGGACCTAAAGATACTCACCATGTTCACGTTACCAGACCTAAAGAACACTCACCATGTCACATTACCAGACCTAAAGAACACTCACCATGTCACGTTACCAGACCTAAAGAACACTCACCATGTCACATTACCAGACCTAAAGAACACTCACCATGTCACGTTACCAGACCTAAAGAACACTCACCATGTCACATTACCAGACTTAAGAAGAACACTCACCATGTCACGTTACCAGACCTAAAGAACACTCACCATGTCACATTACCAGACCTAAAGAAGACTCACCATGTCACGGTACCAGACCTAAAGAACACTCACCATGTCACATTACCAGACCCAAAGAACACTCATCATGTCACGTTACCAGACCTAAAGAACACTCACCATGTCACATTACCAGACCTAAAGAACACTCACCATGTCACATTACCAGACCTAAAGAACACTCACCATGTCACGTTACCAGACCTTAAAAACACTCACCATGTCACATTACCAGACCTAAAGAACACTCACCATGTCACGTTAAAAGACCTAAAGAACACTCACCATGTCACGTACAGACCTAAAAGGACACTCACCAGTCACATTCACATTTACAAGACCTAAAGAAACACTCACAATGTCACATTACCAGACTAAGAACCGCACAATGCACGTTAAAATTAAACAGACCCTAAAAGAACACCACCATGGTCACATTACCAGACCGAAAAAAAACACTCACCATGTCACTTTACCAGACCTAAAGACCCACTGGACCATGTCACTTTCCCAGACGCTTAAAACACCTCAGCATGTCACATTACCAGACCTTAAAACATAACCATGTCATGTTACCAGACCTTAAAAACACTCACCATGTCACTTCACCAGACCTAAAGAACACTCACCATGTCACGTTACCAGACCTAAAGAACACTCATCACCTAGCAACTGATAGAGAGAGAGAGGAGAGAGAGAGATGATGAGAGAGGAGAGAGAGGGAGAGGGAGAGAGAGGAGAGGAGAGAGGAGGAGGAGGGAGGGAGAGAGAGGAGAGAGAGAGAGAGAGAGAGGAGAGAGAGAGAGAGAGAGAGAGAGAGAGAGGAGAGAAGAGAAGAGATGAGAGAGAGGGAGGAGGAGAGAGAGAGAGAGCGAGAGATACACTTGGGAGCATTTTTGTATCAGTAAAGGGACAGCTCATGAGGAAAGTTAATAATTAGGCATCGACCTTTGCTTCTTGCTTTGCCCAATGCGTGATCATTTCCAAAGTTCTTTGTCATTCACATTGCTCAGTCTTTTCTTCTTTGAAAATGACTTTAATGCACATCCCAAACTAATACACTTAGGGCAAAGCAAACATCCCAAACTAATATACTTAGGACAAAGCCAACATCCCAAACTAATACACTTAGGACAAGCCAACATCCCAAACTAATACACTTAGGCAAAGCAAACATCCCAAAACTAAGACACTTAGGACAAAGCCAGCATCCCCAAACTAATATACTTAGGACAAAGCCAACATCCCAAACTAATACACTTAGGGCAAAGCAAACATCCCAAACTAATACACTTAGGACAAAGCCAACATCCCAAACTAATATACTTAGGACAAAGCCAACATCCCAAACTAATACACTTAGGACAAAGCCAGCATCCCAAACTAATACACTTAGGGTAAGCCAACATCCCCAACTAATAAATACACTTAGGGCAAAGCCAACATCCCAAACTAATATACTTAGGACAAAGCCAACATCCCAAACTAATATACTTAGGACAAAGCCAACATCCCCAACTAATACACTTAGGACAAAGCCAACATCCCAAACTAATACACTTAGGGCAAAGCAAACATCCCAAACTAATATACTTAGGACAAAGCCAACATCCCAAACTAATACACTTAGGACAAAGCCAACATCCCAAACTAATACACTTAGGGTAAAGCCAACATCCCCAACTAATAAATACACTTAGGGCAAAGCCAACATCCCAAACTAATATACTTAGGACAAAGCCAACATCCCCAACTAATACACTTAGGACAAAGCCAACATCCCAAACTAATACACTTAGGGCAAAGCAAACATCCCAAACTAATATACTTAGGACAAAGCCAACATCCCAAACTAATACACTTAGGACAAAGCCAACATCCCAAACTAATACACTTAGGGTAAAGCCAACATCCCCAACTAATAAATACACTTAGGGCAAAGCCAACATCCCAAACTAATATACTTAGGACAAAGCCAACATCCCAAACTAATACACTTAGGACAAAGCCAACATCCCAAACTAATACACTTAGGGCAATGCCAACATCCCCAACTAATAAATACACTTAGGGCAAAGCCAACATCCCAATCTAATCCACTTAGGGCAAAGCAAACATCCCAAACTAATACACTTAGGACAAAGCCAACATCCCAAACTAATACACTTAGGGTAAAGCCAACATCCCCAACTAATAAATACACTTAGGGCAATGCCAACATCCCGAACTAATAAATACACTTAGGGCAAAGCCAACATCCCAAACTAATCCACTTAGAACAAAGCCAACATCCCCAACTAATACACTTAGGACAAAGCCAACATCCCAAACTAATACACTTAGGACAAAGCCAACATCCCCAACTAATACACTTAGGACAAAGCCAACATCCCCAACTAATACCCTTAGGACAAAGCCAACGTCACAGACTAATACACTTAGGGCAAAGCCAAAATCAAATGACACGACATTGTGTTGGAATCAACCACCTCTGAACATCAGGAGGTCTGTGTGTGTGTGTGTGTGTGTGTGTGTGTGTGTGTGTGTGTGTGTGTGTGTGTGTGTGTGCGTAACAAATTTAAGGCAGAGAAAAAAGAAATCCTGCTATTCTGTGCAACAAAACACAAAACCCAGCGGAAGTCTGCACTGAAATTAAACTATTGATTATTTCCATCTCAGCGTCAAAATCAATCACGCTTCCCCGAATCACAAAGGCCAGGGACTCCAATGTCCCGCACCAATCAAACACACACACACACACACACACACACACCCCAAACAGGAGTTCCATCCCAGTTCAATGTTCCAAACACAAATGACCTCAACCTTTTACATATCTCTGTATCTCAATGTGTGTTTGTGTGTTTGTGTGTTTGTGTGTTTGTCCGCTTTGTGCTGTGCAATCTGAACGCAGAGACAAACCACAAAATACACACACACACACACACACAGCTGCAAAACACTGTTAAGCTATCAGCTTCTATCTCTCAGGATTAAAGAAAACCTAACCAACTAAAAAGTAAACAGTATTTTGCATTGTGCCAAGAGAACCCACCAAACAAACACACATTTTGAAAACTCTGCCTCACCTCAAATGCCTTCCATTTAGAAAACAACCCCATATCTACACAATACTGTAGTCTTTCAAAAAGCCTAAACAATGAAATAAGGCAACTGGATATGAAATCCTTTCTAAATATATCGTTTCTGGTGAGTTATCTTTGACTAAGTAGTTGAATAACAAAATGATCTTGACCTGAAAACTCCCTGGGGTTACACATCATACGCACAGCAACAACATGATTAAAAACAGAAGATGTTCATCATGATCTTCAAAACAGGGAGGCCATGGATTATGTGTGTGTGTGTGTGTGTGTAATGAGCTAAGTGCAGGGGAGTGAGAGTGTTATTCACCCTCCACAGTCAGTGCTCTGTGAAGTGGATACTGACCCGACTCCCACTCAGACCTCCAGCACTCTGGAAGGGGTGCTGGAGTCTGAGCCAACCCAGCCATGGTGCACCTCCACAGGCTAGTTTAGGCATCAGAGGCCCCTGGAGGGCCCTGATGCAGCATCACCCACTCCCTGCCCACTATGTGCAAGGTTAACTTGCATAAGAAGAAAGGATATTTTTGATGCGTAGCCTGACATGGCCGTCACACTTGCGTATGTGTGTGCCTGTGTGTGTTCTCACCAGTGACGTCCTGCAGTTTGGGGAGGAAGTTGTTCCAGAACTGGCACTGATTAGTTGTAAGCCTCCTTTGAGTGTGTGGTGGGGAGGAGTTTAGGGAGATGTATTCCTGTTGGTCCAGGGTGAAAAGTGGCCAATCCCCTTCCTCTACGCTTGGGTTCCTGCCAGGGAAAATACAACAACCAACCAATTATGTCAGAGAGAAACTTTACACTGACTTAGCTCAGTTGGTTGAGCATGGCATTTGTAATGCCAGGGTTGGGGGTTCGATTCCCACGGGGGGCCAGAATGAATTTATTTGTTTTTTAAATGTATGCACTCACTAACTGTAAGTTGCTCTGGATAAGAGCGTCTGCTAAATGACTAAAATGTAAAATGTATGTATATATATATATATATATACAGCGCATTCGGAAAGTATTCAGACCCCTTCCCTTCCACATTTTGTTACGTTACATTCATTATTCTAAAATGGATTAAATTATATTGTTTCCTCATCAATCTACACACAGTACTGTCATGACTCTCCTGGCTGAGGATCAAAGGACTCATATCAGTTTAGCAAATGGCTGACAACAAACAGACCCTCTCACCCACAGAAGGGGGGGTGGGGGGGGGGGGGTCTGTTTGTTGTCAGCCATTTGCTAAACTGATATGAGTCACCAAGATATAATACACCTTAACACTCTGTCGTAAATTAGTGATTGATTTATATCTTTTTTTTAATCCATTTTAGAATAAGGCTGTAATGTAACAAAATGTGGAAAAAGTCAAGGGGTCTGAATACTTTCCAAATACACTGTGTATATATATATATATATATATATATATATATATATATATATATATATATATATATATATATATATACAATTTCAAAGATTTTACTGAGTTACAGTTGATATAAGGAAATCAGTCAATTTAAGTAAATTCATTAGGCCCTAATCTATGGATTTCACATGACTGGGCAGGAGCGCAGCCATGGGTGGGCCTGGAAGGGCATAGGCCCAACCACTGGGGAGCCAGGCCCAGCCAATCGAAATATGTTTTCCCCATAAAAGTGCTTTATTCCTCAGTTTCATCAGATGTCCGGGTGGCTAGTCTCAGACAATCCCGCAGGTGAATAAGCCGGATGTGGAGGTCCTGGGTTGGCGTGGTTACAAGTGGGCTGCGGTTGTGAGGCCGGTTGGACGTACTACCAATTCTCAAAAACGACGTTGGAAGTGGCTTATGGCAGAGAAATGAACATTCAATTATCTGGTACCAGCCTTGGTGGACATTCCTGCAGTCAGCATGCCAATTGCAAGCTCTCTCAAAACCTGTGGCATTGGCTTGTGTGACAAAACTGCACATTTTAGAGTGGCCTTTTATTGTCCCCACCACAAGGTGCACCAGTCTAATGATCAGCTTCTTGATATGCCACACCTGTCAGGTGGATGGATTATCTTGGCAAAGGAGAAATGCTCACTTATAGGGATGTAAACAAATGTGTGCACAAAATTTGAGATAAATATTTTTGGGGTGTGTATGGAACATTTCTGGGATATTTTATTTCAGCTCATGAAACATGGGACCAACACTTTGCATGTTGCGCTTTTATTTTTGTTCAGTATATATATATATATATATATATATATATATATATATATATATATATATATATATATATATATATATATATATATATATATATATACACACTACATGACCAAAAGTATGTGGACACTTGCTCATCGAACATCTCCAAAATCATGGGCATTAATATGGAGTTGTTTCCCCCTTTGCTGCTATAACGGACTACACTCTTATGGGAAGGCTTTCCACTAGATGTTGGAACATTGCTGCGGGGACTTGCTTCCACTCAGCCACAATAGCATTAGTGAGGTCGGGCACTGATGTTGGGTGATTAGGCCTGGCTTGCAGTTGGCATTCCAATTCATTCCAAAGGTGTTCGAGACCGATCTCAAAAAAACATTTCTGTATGGACCTCGCTTTGTGCACGGAGGCGTTGTCATGTTGAAACGGGAAAGGGCCTTCCCCAAGCTGTTGAAACAAAGTTGTAATCACAGAATTGTCTAGAATATAATTGTATGCTGTAGCGTTAAGATTTCGCTTCACTGGAAATAAGGGGCCTAGTCCCAACCATGAAAAACAGCCCCAGACCATTATTCCTCCTCCACCAAACTTTACAGTTGGCACTATGCATTGGGGCAGGTAGCGTTCTCCTGGCGTCCACCAAACCCAGATTAATCTGTCGGACTGCCAGATAGAGAGCCGTGATTTATCACTCCAGAGAACGCGTTTCCACTGCTCCAGAGTCCAATGGCGGCGAGCTTTACACCACTCCAGCCGACGCTTGGCATTGCGCATGGTGATCTTAGGCTTGTTTGCAGCTGCTCAGCCATGGAAACCCATTTCTTGAAGCTCCCAGCGAACAGTTATTGTGCTGATGTTGCTTCCAGAGGCAGTTTGGAACTTCGTAATGAGTGTTGCAAACGAGGACAGACGGTTTTTACGCACTACGCACTTCAGCACTCGCCGGTCCCATACTCTGACCTTGTGTAGGCTACCACTTCGTGGATGAGCCATTGTTGTTTGCGCCTAGATGTTTCCACTTCACAATAACAGCACTTATAGATGACGGGGCAGCTCTAGCAGGGCAGACATTTTACGAACTGACTTGCTGGAAAGGTGGTATCCCATGACGGTGCCATGTTAAAAGTCACTGAGCTCTTCAGTATGGCCATTCTACTGCCAATGGTTGTCTATGGAGATTGCATGGCTGTGTGCTCGATGTTATACACCTGTCAGCAATGGTTATGGCAGAAATAACCAAATTCAGAAATTTGAAGGGGTGTCCACATACTTTTGTATATATAGTAATAATAATATGCCATATAGCAGACGCTTTTATCCAAAGCGACTTACAGTCATACGTGCATACATTTTTTGTGTATGGGTGGTCCCGGGGATCGAACCCACTACCTTGGCGTTACAAGCGACGTGCTCTACCAGCTGAGCTACAGAGGACAACAGTATATGATGTCTCACCTGGGCTCAGCCATGTCTATATAATATCCATATGAGGTCTCACCTAGTCTCAGCCATGTCTATATAATATATATATGAGGTCTCACCTAGTCTCAGCCATGTCTATATAATATCTATATGAGGTATCACCTGGTCTCAACCATGTCTATATAATATCTATATGAGGTCTCACCTAGTCTCAGCCATGTCTATATAATATCTATATGAGGTCTATCTCACCTGGTCTCAACCATGTCTATATAATATCTATATGAGGTCTCACCTGGTCTCAGCCATGTCTATATAATATCTATATGAGGTCTCACCTGGTCTCAACCATGTCTATATAATATCTATATGAGGTCTATCTCACCTGGTCTCAACCATGTCTATATAATATCTATATGAGGTCTCACCTGGTCTCAACCATGTCTATATAATATCTATATGAGGTCTATCTCACCTGTTCTCAACCATGTCTATATAATATCTATATGAGGTCTATCTCACCTGGTCTCAACCATGTCTATATAATATCTATATGAGGTCAATCTCACTTGGTCTCAACCATGTCTATATAATATCTATATGAGGTCTATCTTACCTGGTCTCAGCCATGTCTATATAATATCTATATGAGGTCTATCTCACTTGGTCTCCACCATGTCTATATAATATCTATATGATGTCTATCTCACCTGGTCTCAACCATGTCTATATAATATCTAAATGAGGTCTATCTCACCTGGTCCTACCCATGTTGACCCAGCACTTCATCATCCTCCTGCTCATGACCACTTCCTCCTCCAGGTATCCCAGGGTGCTGTTCAGCAGCATTACAAAGATAAACTCAATCTCATAGCCTTGGATCACACCCATCCACATAGGCCAGGGATTGGTGGAGGAGTTGTGGTCAAACAGGAAGAGGCAGGCCTTACCCCCGTGTCCTGTGTCCCTGGGGGCAGGTATGGTAATGATAGGAGAGTTCATTACAAACTGAGCAGAAGGGGCCAAATACTAACTACACAACTCAACATTCCATGTAAATAATGCATTGATATATGTGCAAGATTTGTGCAAACCTTATAGCAGGGCTCTCCAACCTTGTTCCTGGAGAGCTACTGTCCTGTAGGTTTTCACTCCAACCCTGTTCCTGGAGAGCTACTGTCCTGTAGGTTTTCACTCCAACCCTGTTCCTGGAGAGCTACCGTCCTGTAGGTTTTCACTCTAACCCTGTTCCTGGAGAGCTACTGTCCTGTAGGTTTTCACTCCAACCCTGTTCCTGGAGAGCTACTGTCCTGTACCTTTTCACTCTAACCCTGTTCCTGGAGAGCTACTGTCCTGTAGGTTTTCACTCCAACCCTATTCCCGGAGAGCTACCGTCCTGTAGGTTTTCACTCTAACCATGTTCATGGAGAGCTACTGTCCTGTAGGTTTTCACTCCAACCCTGTTCCTGGAGAGCTACTGTCCTGTACCTTTTCACTCTAATCCTGTTCCTGGAGAGCTACTGTCCTGTAGGTTTTCACTCCAACCCTGTTCCTGGAGAGCTACTGTCCTGTAGGTTTTCACTCCAACCCTGTTCCTGGAGAGCTACTGTCCTGTAGTTTTTCACTCCAACCCTGTTCCTGGAGAGCTACCGTCCTGTAGGTTTTCACTCTAACCCTGTTCCTGGAGAGCTACTGTCCTGTAGGTTTTCACTCCAACCCTGTTCCTGGAGAGCTACTGTCCTGTACCTTTTCACTCTAACCCTGTTCCTGGAGAGCTACTGTCCTGTAGGTTTTCACTCCAACCCTGTTCCTGGAGAGCTACTGTCCTGTACCTTTTCACTCCAACCCTAAGCTAATGCACTTGATTCTATTAATTAGCTGGTCAATGAACTGAATCAGGTGAGTTACAATTGGGGTTGGATAAAAAATGTATAGGATGGCAGCTCTCCAGGAACAGGGTTGGAGAGCCCTGCATTAGGGCTTTGTGGAACTCTACAATATGTTGTCCTTACGTCTGGGCAAAGGTCTCCCACCATTCGTGCAAGCAATTCACGATTCTTTATCCCACTATTCTCATCTGTCCAATCAGTGTACTGTCCAATCAGTGTACTGGAAGATGGCCGTCTCCCTTCTGACATCACTGAACCCCGGCAACACTAGGTCCACCCCTTTCAGGAAGTCCTCCCTGCTGATCAGGTTCTGGCTAGTGATGTCATATCCCGGTGCCCCGTAAACCAGGAAGTAGGTCCACTCGTCTTGGTTCAAACCAATCAGCACCTCTGTCTTCAGGAAGTGGCCCGTCCGGAGCAGAACCTATAGGACCAGATAGAGAAGATTAGACATTTTGACATTATGCCATTGGAAATATACCTGGGCGTCAATTGCTTGTTTGTTCAGTGCCTTTGGGCCAGAACAAGCAATCACAGATTCACACACACCGCGGGCATGTCTGGTAGGAAATCTCGGTCGACAGAGGGGGTGAATGGTAATGCTATGAGTGCGGGGAGAGAGAGGACGTTGTACTACTGGTTGATGATATCCTCTGGATGGGCTCTCTGTAGACACTGATCCAAGACAGCCAGAGGTGCCAGGGGAAAACCCAGCAGCCTACCCAGGGACAGGGACCTGTTCCAGGCCTGCTGTTGAGTCATGACAGCCCATGGAGTGTTAGGGGAACCATTCTGTAGTATCGCCCTGTTGAACAGTCCATGGCTGCCAGGGGAGAGGAGATGGAGACCCACAGATGCAGAGCCAGCACTCTATCGAAACAACATCACCTGACAACAACATAAAAACAGAGAATAATTAAACATGGTAAAACAAAGAATAATAATTAAAAAAGAGTCATAGAGAAAAGCTGAGTAACCTATGAAGGGTCGCCGCCAAAGGCAGCGATGTTATCGGCTACCCAGCACAGAGCCAAGCGCTGGTCAATTCAATCGTCGCCACGAACAACCTCGCTATCAGGAAGAGACAGCAAACATAACGGGCAGAGCCTGTGTCCAATCAAAACAAACTTTCTTATCTGTGTATTTTTAAAACATAAATATATGAAGCTCAAATAAGTATATTCGTTTCACTCTATTGTTCCAGGACTTCCTGTAGTTCATGGACACCACCACCATGCCTTCTGATTGGCTAAGGAAGCGTCCATTATACAGGTCTAGGGATGCAGTGCCCATAGCGAACCCGCCCCCGTAGAGCCACACCATGACAGGAGCCAATGAGGAACCAGGGGAGGAGCTCTTGGAACCTTTAGGGTGTGTCCATTTGGGGGAGGAGTCCATATGGGTAAGAGTGGGAGGAGTCCATATGTTGAGGTAGAGACAGTCTTCACTCATCTTGCTGTTGGGGTTCCACATCTCAGCTCCACGGAACCCTGGGAGTAAGGAAGTCAGAGTCAAACACTTCCAGTTAATAACTTGATTACAAAACAACATTGAGCATTGAGTTTAAATGCACAGTAATAATTTGATACTAAATGGATTATGGCAGTAGGCAGATTATGCAAAAGTCATATAGACACCTTACTCTGCTTATCTTAATCAAAATCGAAGTAACCATATGCTGATTAAAACACCTAGTTTTCTGAGCAATATTTCATATTATTAGGACATGTAAACACCTTAATCGGCGTTCCAGCGGTGTATTTGATCTGAGTATGTGCCAGCACCAGGCGAGCGAGCCTCCCTCTTTAGCACGAGTGTAGTGAGTTTGGAACTACTGAATGTATGTGTCTTAGAAGTAGTTTTCACATACAAACGTTATATGTCCGAACTCAGAATCAAATTTGCTTCCCAGAAATAACATGGGCGCTGTGGTAGAACGTTTATTTTGATTGGAGATTTTCTGCATTTATCAGAATGCCATCAGGGAGCCTGATCTCAGATGTGCCAATGTGAACAGGATTATTAGGGGAATCGTCCTTCTTGCAAAGCACATAAATGTTTATATCAAACTATTATATTAATCTGATTATCCACAATAATCACATTATTGTGTGCATGTAGCCATAATCAATGACTGTAGACAGTCACTAACATCAACAGGTTAAAAGGCACACAAAAACATACAGTACATTCATGTAGGTGTAATAAGCTATGCCAGTTTACTATACAGGCCTATGTCATCATTCTGGTATCATATCCCTACAAGGAAAAGTTATATCCGGGGTTGGAAGCAGGAGTTGGGTTAGCGTTTGGTGTGTCGCACCCCGGTCCACCGCTTTGCAGGCTGAGTAGTGCGAAAAGGGGAGGGGGGGGGGGGGGGGGGGGGGGGGGGTAAAGATGAATTCCCCAAACTCGTGGCGACAAAGAGGTCATCGATGAGGTCATCAACCTGAGACGTTGTGGCCAGGAAATGTGTGTGTGTGAATGGTCACCATGGTAACATGTTCAGGTCTGGAGTGGTCAAAACACATAGAAGCTTGTGTAGGTCAACACAAATATCAATTTTAGTACCAAGAATAATAGACACTATCACAAACACACATCAAGAAACACACGCACAACAAACATACATCAAGAAACACACGCACAACAAACATACATCAAGAAACACACGCACAACAAACACACACACACTCTCACTTAGTAATAGTAGGAGATGACTGATATAGTTACATATCCATTAGTTTGTTGAAGCATTCAACATTTTCCGAAGATAGCCACCGGCTTCAACAACCACAGAACAAGTAGGGCAGAGAGAGAGGAGAGAAAAGAGGGAGACTGACAGCTATTAATGACACCTTGAATTCAGCTGATTTCAGGATAAGAGTGTGTGAGGGGGTGCACAGCGGTAGGGGGGTGGGAGGGGGGACGATCAAATCTCTCCCTCTGACTCATTCAACACCAGACAGGCGCTCAGACACACACCCTCCTTCAACACCAGACAGGCGTTCAGACACACACTTTATCTTCAACACCAGACAGGCGTTGAGACACACACTACCTTCAACACCAGACAGGCTTTCAGACACACACCCATCTTCAACACCAGACAGGCGCTCAGACATACCCTCCTTCAACACCAGACAGGCTTTCAGACACACACTTACCTTCAACACCAGACAGGCGCTCAGACACACACCCACCTTCAACACCAGACAGGCGTTCAGACACACACCCACCTTCAACACCAGACAGGCGTTCAGACACACACCCTCCTTCAACACCAGACAGGCGTTCAGACACACACTTACCTTCAACACCAGACTGGCGTTCAGACACACACCCAACTTCAAAACCAGACAGGCGTTCAGACACACACCCTCCTTCAACACCAGACAGGCGTTCAGACACACACTTACCTTCAACACCAGACAGGCGTTCAGACACACACCCAACTTCAACACCAGACAGGCGTTCAGACACACACCTACCTTCAACACCAGACAGGCGTTCAGACACACACCCTCCTTCAACACCAGACAGGCGTTCAGACACACACCCTTTTTCAACACCAGACAGGCGTTCAGACACACGACCACCTTCAACACCAGACAGGCGCTCAGACACACACCCAACTTCAAAACCAGACAGGCGTTTAGACACACACCCTCCTTCAAAACCAGACAGGCGTTCAGACACACACTTACCTTCAACACCAGACAGGCGTTCAGACACACACCCAACTTCAACACCAGACAGGCGTTCAGAAACACACCTACCTTCAACACCAGACAGGCGTTCAGACACACAACTACCTTCAACACCAGACAGGCGTTCAGACACACACCCTCCATCAACACCAGACAGGCGTTCAGACACACACCCTTCTTCAACACCAGACAGGTGTTCAGACACACGACCACCTTCTACACCAGACAGGCGCTCAGACATACCCTCCTTCAACACCAGACAGGCGTTCAGACACACAACTACCTTCAACACCAGACAGGCGTTCAGACACACACCCTCCTTCAACACCAGACAGGCTCTCAGACACACACCCAACTTCAAAACCAGACAGGCGTTCAGACACACACCTACCTTCAACACCAGACAGGCGTTCAGACACACACCTACCTTCAACACCAGACAGGCGTTCAGACACACACCTACCTTCAACACCAGACAGGCGCTCAGACACACACCCAACTTCAAAACCAGACAGGCGTTCAGACACACACCCTCCTTCAACACCAGACAGGCGTTCAGACACACACTTACCTTCAACACCAGACAGGCGTTCAGACACACACCCACCTTCAACACCAGACAGGCGTTCAGAAACACACCTACCTTCAACACCAGACAGGCGTTCAGACACACACCTACCTTCAACACCAGACAGGCGTTCAGACACACACCTACCTTCAACACCAGACAGGCGTTCAGACACACACCCTTCTTCAACACCAGACAGGCGTTCAGACACACGACCACCTTCAACACCAGACAGGCGTTCAGACACACACCCTTCTTCAACACCAGACAGGCGTTCAGACACACGACCACCTTCAACACCAGACAGGCGTTCAGACACACACCCTCCTTCAACACCAGACAGGCGTTCAGACACACGACCACCTTCAACACCAGACAGGCGTTCAGAAACACACCTACCTTCAACACCAGACAGGCGTTCAGACACACACCCACCTTCAACACCAGACAGGCGTTCAGACACACCCATTTTCAACACCAGACAGGCGTTCAGATCACACACTCTTCTCTCCCAACAGATAACTCAGCTGAAAGGGGGAAGCATAGTGATGTCTATAATTAGAGAGTCTGATTGCTTGTTGTGATATTGGATAAATCCAGGATTAATCAGGTCTGCACTGACCAGACAGATTATCCCAGAAGTCTCACATGACCTTAGAGGCAGAATGAATATAACTGGCATGCAGGATATCAAAACCACATCTACCTTTTCTCATGGACTTTAAATAAAACACAAGCTGGCTTTGTCTGTGGAAATAGCTTAACTGTGCAGTTGAAATATGTTTCTGATTCAAATATTCAAATGCTGTGGCGTGGCGGGGTGTGCCGTGGTGTGCCGTGGTGTGGCGTGGTGTGGTGTGCCGTGGTATGCCGTGGTGTGCCGTGGTGTGCCGTGCCGTGGTGTGCCGTGGTGTGCCGTGGTATGCCGTGGTGTGCCGTGGTGTGCCGTGGTATGCCGTGGTGTGCCGTGTGTGTGCCGTGCCGTGGTGTGCCGTGCCATGGTGTGCCGTGCCGTGGTTGTGCCGTGGGTGTGCCGTGGTGTGCCGTGGTGTGCGTGTGTGCCGTGGGTGTGCCGTCCGTGCCGTGGTGTGCCGTGGTGTGCCGTGGTGTGCCGTGGTGTGCCGTGCCGTGGTGTGCCGTGGTGTGCCGTGCCGTGGTGTGCCGTGGTGTGCCGTGCCGTGGTGTGCCGTGGTGTGCCGTGGTGTGCCGTGGTGTGCCGTGGTTGTGCCGTGCCGTGGTGTGCCGTGCCGTGCCGTGGTGTGCCGTGGTGTGCCGTGGTG